AGAGAATTTTTGACGTTTATCTTGCAATATTCTTCCACTCCAGAAACTGATATATCTCTGTTGTAGTCCATAGGACATGGGCTGCTTACAAATTTTATTATTTCATTTGTGTTTGAAGTCACATAATAGGCATTGGGATAAGAATTTGTTTTCGATATTGGCCAAAGTTTTTCGCATTCTCTACATCACTTATGCACTAATCTCCGGTCCTATCTCTTATGAGAACAATTCGCCTGCTCGGTCGATTGAGAAATGCGTCAACTCCTCGTAACTCGAGCTCATCAGACATGCCTGAGTTGACTTTAATTAAAAAATTGTTAATTTATTCATTTCTTCGCTCAGCTGGATGTAATCGTAGATTCTTCGTAACTCCATTAAGATTCCTATCATCTAAACGAGTCGTGCTCCTTTTCCATTGTTTTCTTAATAGCGTATTTTTTCTGATCATTTGCTTTATTTCAAGGTTAACGTAATTTTTTTTTTTTTTTTTTTTTTTTTTGGATGATCAATCACTGTTCCAATCCAACGTAATACATTGACAGTCAGAAAGAAGTGAGAAAAAAGGAAGAAAGAACGAAATAGCCAAGTGAAGGCCGCAGCTGGGTGGATATATGCTCCATCGGTAAGTACTATGGCTTTACCGACAGAGCACTCTCTATAGCTACCACCAAGGTAAACTCCCCCGCACTGAAATTTAAACCCTCGAGTACCGACTTACCTACTCGACTACGCATGCGGAATTATTTCGAATAATAGACTCATCAAAATTTCTACGAGTACATATAAAATTAGTTTGGTGAATAAGATTGGTAAAACCCTCAGAAGAGCTTTGCAAACTCTGAATATCTGATAATGTTCTCTAAATATCAGTTGTATGATTAGTGACATTATATTTAACTGAGACGTTGTCAAGGGTCGTGTCTAAGTTGAAAATCAATGAAGAAAGATACAAACTAAAGTCATAATAGCCATAAATATGGAATAAATTAGCGAGAATACCAGGGTAAACGGGAAATCCAGCAGACGAACAACCGGAGTGGATGGCCAGTATGTGCGTCTCCCAGCGGACCAAATAGAACAGGTGTTATTAGGGATGAATTTGTAGATCTCTCTTCCTTTCGAATCTACTAGTCCAGGCGTTCAACATTGATGTTTGGCATTAAACTTGACACCAACATTAAATTTTTCATCAAATTTATCTATTATTACATACTTATTTATTTATTTACATGAAATATTTACCAGTGCCAAGTAATATTACAACGAAATGAAATATGAGCTACACAAAGTTAGATTGCTTTATATAAACAAAGCGACTATAAAAATACTTATCACAGAATTCAATGAGAACCGGTAACGTTTGATATAAAAAATTTTAATGAAGGTCATATTTTAATGAAGGAAAATTTCTACTTCATTGGTATAATTAGAAAACCCATTGGGGTTTTGAAGTTTTTTTGAGAATTCGACTGTACATGAAACCATTTTCACAACAAGTTGAATGATTTTTCAAAGAACTGACGCATTTCAGAAGAGTACCATCATTTTTGATGCAGGACTTTCTGGAATAAGTTATCTCGTGTCCAAAGTCTAGAAACTCGTCAACGGCCATCAAGTGATGTCTGTGGCCTTTCAAATGGACCTTCAGCTTTAACGACAGCATGATTAAAGTATTTCATGTCGTAAATTTTTTTATTATCCACACTCTATATAAAACTTCAGCAATTGATCTTCTGTGAATCTGTAATAGATGTTGGAGATTTTTCGCACTTTGATCCGTAGCTTTTCAACATCCAATCTAATATCAGCGCTTGGAGTAAAATGATGAGGCATTTTTGAATCTTTCTTGTCTCTCCTGCTTAATTTTATATATATAATTTGAACTTCTTTGTCACTTAGATGTTCTTAACTAACTACCTGTAGGAATTGATAACCCTCATGAATATTTTAATTTGACTATAGTTTCACATAGTTACAGTTATATAGTTTTGAGCAGAGGTTTCTATAGAGCTATTGTTGATAATTTGCCAAGTTTACGCAAGACGTTTGTCTTTGTGAACATTATCAAAACTATTTTGCTTATGTTTGTTCTAGTGAAAAACCGATGAAAGTTGCGAGTTCACTATATTATTACGGCAGCCCTCAAATGAAACCTTATTTAGTTTGGTAGAATTAGCCATGTTTTATTGTTATTGTTTGGAAAGTTAACTACTAATGGAAACAATTACACTGAAACTGTTTGGGCAACATTGTAAGACCCGATAAAACGAAAAATGTTTGGACATCTGTTTTCAATTTTAATAATTTTCAACGCCGAGATGAAAAAAGGTTAAGTTTTGTAAAGCATAGCCTAACCGTGATGTTTTCGGAAATCTTTTAATTATTATTAAATTGTAGGCTTCAATATAAAATGTGCAATCAAGAAAATAAAAAAGATGTGGGCTCATTTTCTAAAACAAATTATTATCAACTCGAATACCTTTTGTCCAGCGTTATTTAGTGATGGTTTGGTTATAAAAACATAGACAGTTCCATGGATGTTACTTAGAACCACTTTTCGTGAGTTGTTTCTAGATCGGGTTCATTAAAACTATGTCGTACTAATTTATGGCGGCTTAGTAAGCGTTTAAGGTTGATAGGCAATAAAAAAAACAGGATATTAAAAAAATACAAACGTAGTGGCCTGCTTAGGGTCTTCACGTTACACTCTAGTGTCAGACGAGACTATAATTTACTAAAAGTATCGTTCTATGCTAACCGTGTTTGATCAATAAGAGGTGAACTTGCCTTTGATCCTAAACAGTTTTTCAAATTTGCAAATTCTAAACACAAAATATGAGAATTTCCCTCTGTTATAAGCTTGGACAATGTCGAATTTACAGATTCTACTGTATTAGTTGACATTTTTAGAGATTTTTTCAGTGAAGTCTATGGTTCATCAAATATTCCATTCAGTAACTATGCTCATCCTGTAAGTTTATTTCATATATTTCCGCCTGTGTCTTTCTCTCAAGATGACGTATTTATATGGTAGTCGACTTTGAAATCCTCCAATTTTCTGGTCCAACGAGAGCTCCTCTGTTATTGTCTAATGTTGCATTTGCAATGCTTTCTTGTTGCACAAACTCTCATTAAATGCTTGAAAAGAATTACTTTCCATCGGTCCGGAAGACTTGTTCTATTTTGCCACTTTACAAAAGCGAATCAAAAAAAGAAGATAGAGAATTATGGAGGCATTGCCGAGCTTAGTCTATTGACACTACTCTTTGAAGGACTGGTAAGAAAAAGGCTCACGTCTGTTTTAGGGTCAGTTATATCGCCTTAGCAGCACGGTTTGTGTCCAACACCCGCTGTGCCCTCGAGCATTGACTGGCTTCTGCTTATGTGTAAGATTGACAACCGAGTTCTTTAATGGACCTACTGGGTCCTGCCAACGTTCTAAGCCGTTTGAAACAAAGTTACTCGAAATTTTTTATGATCACTCGTTCCATGAGCTGGCTGACTTTGAAAGAATCTCTTTAAAACTGTTTCGCACTATTCCCCGCGCTCTTCCCTTGAAATTGAGGTCCACAAAAACTACTGTATCCTTGTTCCCTTTTCTACCTAAAATTTTCAATGACTAAAACCGCCCACCGACTTAATATTTTCAAAAAATAAAAAACTGCCGGAAACTCTCGTATTAATTCACTAACACAATAATTAACTAATTGCAAACGTCACGTACCAAATGGCTGTGTGTACAGTGATGCGAATCTGCAACTTTGTAAGTACTGTGTAATTAAGGCGTTTATCGTCGGTATTATCAAAAATATAAACCGTCACTAAGGTACTTTATCAAATTCAAATGGCAAATAAAGTATTTGCGTGAACAAACAGATCATACTTCGACATGTCATGTGGTTCTGACAGTGTGCAATACGTTCGTGTTCTGTTAACGTATTAAAAGTCTTTTTAATTATACACACAGACACACCAGCAATGGCAAGCGGGTACTAATATATTTTAAGTGAAATTTTATATACAAGCCTTGCATATTTTCCATAAACAAGCACTACAGCTAATCAGAAACTGCTAATCGCGTTTCCAAGAGGTGGCTTTGCAGACAGTTACAAAACTCTATTAACAACGCATTCTCATTGAGAAAAATTTTGCAAAAGTTCGCTAGCCTTAACGAAGGCGGTAATGCTTTGTCATTGAAAAAATTCATTTTGCTTGCTCCTATATTGTTTGTTCACTTTTGCTCTGAAAATTTTCGGGTAAAGACGTCCCGCAGGTTGCTCAAGCAATCCCTCATAAAACTAGTAAAATTCTTTAAACAGTTACAGATATCGGCAAAAATTTTTTTGCAAAAAACAGTATTGAACCTTCAACCGGGAGATTTCGTCGAGGCATCTATTGTTTTAAGCATCGTGGAATTTCAAGAGAGTGGTGCATCTTGAGTCGTTGAAAAATGATCCGGTTCAGATGCGGAATTGTGGTAAAACTTCAACAATTATCCACTAAGAAAGGCGGCACTCTCCATCAGGACAATGCCGAAGAGCACACAGGTTCACTGGCCCGTCAGAAATTGAAAGCGCTTGACATCTGACTACCATTTATTTTGTTCTCTGCGGAACTCTGTTAATGAAGCACTGAGGTCCTAAAAAGGCCTTTGCAAAAATGAGCTAATTAAGTTTTTCGCAAAAGAAACGGCAAATGATTGTCGACCAAACTACCACGATTTTCTCTCTCTAGTGAAGATTATTTAAAATTTGTCTGGCTTGAAACTTCAATTTTTTATGTCAACGAAAATAAAGTATTTTGTGGTTCAACTTTATTGTCCTTTGCTACAACCAACCAATCAACCAAACAGACTTCACTTACATAATCTTTAAGCTTGCACAAATACTTTTCTCATGAAGTGTTTGTTATAGAGAAGACAAAGTGTTTTGAAAAGTTCTGTGCAAAAAACAATTACTTGCTCGTCGAGCTAATAGCGTTAAAAATATAAAAGTACTTACCGAGTTTATGTAATTTATTAAACTTAATCCACCCTTCCAAGTGTGACGTGATTCACATGAAACGTTAGCAACACGTAAAAAATGCGATTGTTGGAGGCTTTGCAACCCAATTACAAAAATGTGTACTGAGTCGTAAATTAAAGCCGGAATAGTCTAAAAATTAACAATTTGCATAAAATGAATATAAGATTGAACTAACGGCGATACATATTAAGCAGTTGGTACCTCGATCGTATGTAATTTTCTAAAAAACTGTAAACCTTCTTTGTTTGATTTTTGTAAGTTCTTATAAATTTCCAACTCCTTTAGAGTCTTTTTTACTCCAACATCGTTAACATCAACTAAACAAAATGATGTTATGTTCACAAAATTGTACTTAAAATCTTCCAAATCGAACTTCTCAATATCAAAACTAGTGATAAAGTAATGATATTTGTATTCATTCATTTGTAATTTTAAGATCTGGAATATAAAAAATCAATAATAATGATGAGTTTAGAGAGAAGCGCCAACATATATAAAATTTTTATACCGTCTTCAATATAATGTGAACGTTATCAGTTTTTGTGTCAAGAATTAAATTATGCATTTCCATATTTTTCATTTCGTTTAAATACTGTACGTAAGTTAATGGATTAACGTAACGCACATGCACCTCTAATGAAGTCTGCATTAATCGTCGCATTTGCACTAAACCTAAATAGAGACCGTAGAAGTTTCGAAAATAGAAACGGCTGTAAAAACCGATATACAACCAAGAACGCACCATGTTGGTTTTCATGCAAAATAGCTACTTTCGTCCAATTTAAATAATGTATAATATCCAAAAACGCGTCGTTAATGATATCTTGAAATGGATGTAGATTAATTGAAAATTCTCTGGCAGTGTGTTTGGCATCTGCTCTAATTTCAATATGTGGTATATCCAATGCATCGCATATTGAATTGATGTGACAGCTTAACAAACCATTTGATGGCCCAAGTATCGCGTGAACACCAGTTTTGATTTGATTACATACTGAAAGGCAAAATAATATAACATGAAAAAAAACAATTAAGAACTTTATATTTGACGGGAGTCGAGTCTCGCATACCCAGCACCATGCTTTTCTCATTCTATTTTTCAATTTTTTCTGTTTTATAGCCACATCGCTGGTATTATGAAAAAAAAAATTTAACCACCAGGCGGCGGTGTCTCCCATATTCATTTTAGAATTAACCCATTTTTCGGCAGATAATATCTCTTCATTTGAGGAATGTACATAATCATTTTAAACATTCTGTTTTGTTTGCTGTATGACAAATAGGCATAAAACCTCGAAAAAGTAAAAAAAACAAAATATAATTACTTATAACTTGATGTGAGCATCGCCGATTTCCTTCATTTTTGCTCTTAAAAAGTACAGTGTTACATAAAATAAACATGAAAAATATGAACCTTCTAACTTTAATAATTTCCGAGTAATGAGTAAAAGCTCACAAATTTTTGTTAGAAAAAATGGAATTGCGTTCAGTTTACGCTCCATTGAAGGCTTCTGGTCTGACCAATTTGGTCGATTTTCCATACCAGCTTGCCCAGAAAAATTTCGATTTTCGAATAAACTTAAAATCGATATCTTCCTTTTTGCGACTAGGAGAGTACCAACAATAAGCACACAGACGGACAGACATCGCTTAGTCAATGCAATATTTCACGCTGATCAAGAATACATATACTTTATAGGGTTCCTGAAGCTTACTTTTGAGCGTTGCACAGAAAAAAAGAAACTGACTATACCCCCATCCCTCAGTACTATATCATCAATATCATTTGCTCAATCCCAGAAACTGACGTTTTTTTTGTTCTGAATAATTTCACGAGTGGTACTTCATTTTTGTATTGAAACCAAAGTAAGTTTCTCCCATTAGACTAGCGTTATAAAATAAATATTAATCGATTTAAAAATAAGAAACATTTGCTTTCCGTCAAAATTTGTTCTTTTTAAATTTAAACTGTTTTTGGCGATTTAAACGAAGAAAACTCTTCAAACAAAACATAGCCATACGCATGCAGCTGTTTGCAATGATTTCACAAAAAGCGCATCGAAATGATTGCCACCGTTTATTACAAACACACCGGAAGTCCAAGTGCCACCTATTTTATCCACATAACATACAAGCTATTTTTTCAGGTCAGTTTGGTTGCGATTCACCTAATAAAGACAGAAGCATGTGAAATATTGAAGAAGTAGGTTTCGCATTCTGAAGCCTATCACAATTAGATTAAAGTGTTTGTGTGTCAAAAATGGCTACATGTAAGCACATGTTATATATGTACACAGACAAAAAAAAATCCAAAAATGAAATAGCTTATGTAATTTTTTATCGTTTCATCGTTTAAATTAGGCCACATTGAGAAATTCTAAATTTTATGTTCGCAAAATTTTTCAGTCATTTTGATTGAATATTCTCTATAGGAATAGTGAAATCATCCTCACAATTAAAAAAAGTGATATATTGTAGGAATTATGTAATGTAATGTACATATCAAAAAATAATATTTCTAAGATATCTTTTTTTAATCGTCCGCTTGCGTCATTTCATTTATTGTCAATATTAATGTCGTCTTCTTTTACACAAACCATCTCTATTAATTTTTTTAAACCTTTGGTTCTTAAACTTGTATAAAGGAACGGAACCCTAGCCGTAATATAATGGTACAAACACAAAGTGTGCGTAGCAGACTATTATAGAAGTAAAAATAAATTAGTAAAAAACATTTTTGATAGGATTACATATATAAAAAAAGCTTTGTATTCTCCAGATGTTTGAGACCAATGACGCTGGAGGTTTTTTTTTTATTGTTCTAAGAAAATTCGAAATTCTTGATTCGCGAATACACCAATTAAGAATGTCCTAAGCGAAAAACAAAATATAATTCAAATTACATAAATTAGGGTTATAGGAAAGTTTATTTATTTGTCATCACGATATGCCAAAAACTATCTACCTCAATAAAAATGCAGGTTGTTACCACAGGGAGATTTTTAATCTAAATGATAATTTATTCAACTCAAATTGCTGCTATACTATTTTATTTCTACAGTTCTAAATCTAAAGTTTTTCTTACACGCAAAAAATCAAAAATTTCGAAGAATTTTAGCGAGTAACCATAAATTAAATACTTATAATAATTAAGGGCGATTATTGCAGTTCGACATACGTTTTGACGTAACTCAATGTACAATTTGACAATTTCAAAAGCGCGCCGGTACCGTCTTTGTTTACATCCATCGCCGAGGGATGAGGGGTATAATCATTTTGTCAAAACGCTCGAAGGACACTTTCACAGCACCAAGTAAATTGAGAACATTTCTGTTTTTCAAAAGGAATGAAAAATTGGTTTTTGCTCATTACTCATAAGCCGCAGCAAATAAATGTATAAAGATTCGATCGCATATTTTATAGGCGATGCTGTAGCGTTCGGGTATAAAAACCCCATAAAGTATATAAAATCTTGGCCAGTTTCCAATTTGAGATGGACCTATACATGTCCTCCTGTTTGTGTATCCACCTGTCTATTTGCGCAACTTTGTAGCAAATACTCTGCCGTTAGCGACATTAAAGACATAGCCTACAAATTTGCAAAGGAATTTGGAAATGACTTAAACTTTTCCAAGGACCCGCCCATAACACCCATACGCCTATGCAACAAAACCTTTTATTTTGAAAATAGCAAAAGAAAATTTTGTTCTTCTACTATTTTTGTTTACTTTAGCATAACGTTGATGGGTACAAAAAATTCAGTCCTGACCGAATTTAATTTTCTTACTTGTTTATTATTATATTCTTACTTGTTTATTTATTACCTTTTTAGCAAGAAATTTTCTTACTTACTTCAGCGTTATTAAATCAGTTGTCTATTTTAATAAATTCTCTTCAATATTCGGTGGATATGCCACGGGAAGTCTACACATATTCTTTACGTTGTCAGTTTGCCGTCTCTATTTTTTGCTTTTGGAATACCCATTCGCTTCTTGTCCTCCTGGACTTTTAGCCTAGGTTTATACTTTTCAATTTTTAACTATTAAAAATGTGGATTACTACCGCATGAGTCTTAATAAAAATAACGATCTATACAACTTCAGTTGCTGCTTATAGACTTTTTTTCTACCGTTCTATGTCTAAAGTTTATGATCTTTGAAGTCCTCCTTCATTTTGGTGCTACATTAAGTTATAAGGATTTTGTGCAAATGTTGTGGTAAACGTCTCTGTAATGTACAGCGATTAAAGCTAATTGATACCGGTCAACATGGCATTATGCTCTAATAAAATTTCCACGTTACATGACGATGGTTAAAGTCTTTTAACATTTGTACATTACATTTAATATTAATGGTCGCGAGTTTTAAGAGCAAGTCTGGAATAGAGTGAATCAGATAGAATGGACAGAAGTTTCGTGGTGCTATTGGTAACTGTAATATAGAGAACAGTCGCTATTGCTCACCCTTAATAAGCATCACTGATTATTATAATCCATTCATACGACACATAAGTACGGTTACCCTCTATAATAAAAACACATAACCACCACATTTGATGTAATACCCGAAATCAACAAAGCTCTACTAAAAGAGAGCTAAGATAATAACAAGATAGTTGGATAATCCCAAACTGTGAACAAAAATTTATTCACGTATATTTCTGTGAACGTTAGCAAATTTAAGCCATTAGAACTTTACTATATAAGAATAAAAATTTATGTATGAAGACACAGATGTCAGTCAATGATCCATGCAAATAAACGCGTTTTAATTTCATTGTGACGATTGCGCCCTAAGTATAGCAACTGAAGTTTTAGCACTATGAAACGGAGCTAGGCACACTAAATACCTTTTCTGTTTTACAACCACCAAATTCCTTCATGATGACCGTCATAGTATTCACACTAGTCCGCCAATTATACAAAGTTTCAATTTTTTGGGCCAACGCAGATACTAATAATTAGTTTCGAGAAACGCCCGACAACTTACGAGAAGCCCAAAACGGCTCACAATTGAGCCATACAACAAAAGGCAAAATAAGCACGAAAAATACACCACACCAAAAGCCTCCACCATAAAGCCCAAAAAAGAAGGAAGCTGAATCAACAGAACAGCACGGCGTGTGAGGTTCTTGTGATATATGGTGCAACAGCCCATAGCTTGGCCACTATCAACGCACCACTGCCAGAAGATCGATCAACCGAAAGAATTACTCCAAAATACGACGTACATCAAACAAACCAACAAACTCCATCTATATAAAAGTAATCAACGTCACAAAGCATAACGTTTTTTGAAATTTTTTTAAATTGATACAACCCAAAAAGAAAGAACTAATTATTATAATAACAGAGTTAGAATGAAAAAGCATATTTATCGGCCGCAACAATCCTACACCTTCCAGCACAAGCAAACACCATATATACAAGCTCAGATCAATCAAAAATTGATCTTTTGGAAATAGCCTCTGAAATGAGCAACATTAATAAAGACTCCACTGCATAAATTACCGCAATGAGGACATAAGAACTGAAAAATGTATAGGAACGATGCGATATTCGGCGTTTGGAGCTGGCAAAAGGTAATATACAGTGAGGACTCAAAGTCGTCCCTCGTTTTGGTCTCACGGGTTCTCCGTGTCTGGCTGGGGAGAGGGGAGTGCTAGACAGTAAGAATAGGATAAACGTAGTATGAGAATAGGATAAACGTAGTATAAGAGTAGGATAGATATAGGAAAAGAATAGATTAAGATGGGATAGTAATAGATTAAGAATAGAATAAGAATAGAATAGAGTAACTTTAATTTAGTTAGGGAGTCGCGTGGCAGTCGCTGATGCGAGAGGTCGTTTTCGAGTCGCCGGCTAAGAGAGACGTAGTTGAATAAGAAATCTCTAATAAAATAATTACAGAATAAAAGAGGGCCTGCAAAATACAAATTTCTTGTGCGTTTCCATCACCCTGGGCCGCTGCGCTGCCGCAGCCTTGGGGAAAGGGA